AGAAGGTGCGCTATCTCCAACGAGCGGCTACGCCGGAGATCAGAGAGCCCAACAAGCGTTATGATACGCCAGCTTGCTAAAAGCGCTCAGCTTGCAATGCAAACAGTAACAATACTTACAGAGGAAATTAAGAAGCTACGTAAAGAAAACCAGCGCCAACGACAAAAGCAAGAGCGGCAGCGTCAATATATCGCTTCTGGTGGGGTGCTCCAGGTCCAACAGGCTCAGCAGATCATTGCAGAGGCAGAAAGGGTAGTAATGGGGGGTGACCAGAACCAGACTGGCGAGCGACGTCAGCGCGCGCCGCCAACGTGCACGAAGTGCCACGTTCAAGGACATACTCGGACTTCATGTAAAGCTAGATAAAGAATAATATCTTTTAATTTAATTTAATTTTATTAAGTTGCTGTAGAGCAATTGAGTAGAGCGTCGCGTCAGGTTTGGTGGGGTGGGCCACTTACTGATGTGGGCCGCTTACTGATAAAACACGTTAGTAAAAAAAAATTGTATCTAAGTTCTGACAAATCTTTCTCTGGTTTTTTTTTTGCCATGTGCAACTTGCATGCTCCAAGACGGCGTGGGCTTCCTACACATCCATAATAACCAGGGGTTTCCTAGTTAAAGATAAAAGGAAAGAAAATGAACCTCGGATGTTGGTCACGTGATCGGATTTCTACCACATTAATTAATATCAGGATACGAGAGGAGACGAAAATTAAAAGCTTTGTGGCGTGAGCCAAGGAGATGCCGAGTCGTTCGTCAGCAATTAGCAACGCTCGTTGAGGAAATGTGGGGGACGCCATTGTCTGATAGCGTCGTAACCACTCCACTTATCAGAACAGGGTCAAGTTTTATATATGAACAAGATGATATTCTTATCGCTATGCTGCGCTCCTTGACTCGACGACACTAGTACATATAGCGTATGTTAACTTGTCCTGTTTCAAAAAAAAACTACTACGTAGAAGCATTAATGCGAGTCTGCACGCTATCGACGATGGTCTCCTCGAGCCCCATAAATCCAGGATGGCCAAACTCCTTCAACAACGCTTCCGCCCTCTGCCGCGGGCCAATTTCAGCAAGGGGGTAGTCGAGGCCTGGGAGCTTCTCCGGGGCTTGGTAGCCGGGGACGGCTTTTGCAAATATGTCGAAGAATTCATTGAAGGAATAGGGAGATGCAAAGGCAAAGATACGCTCGTTGGCGACATGTGGATGGATCAGAGCGGCAACATGAAGGCAAGCAGCGTCTCGGACGTGTACATAATGGGCTGCTGTTGCGTTAGCCATCGCTTTAGCCGTGCATCCGCACGAGACAGGTTACGTACAACGCTGCAAATGTTTCATGGAATCGACATGGCCATCCAAGACCTGGATCGGAATTCTCGAGGTAGAGGGATAGCCCTGGTGGGGCACGTCGAGCGGACTGCCATAGATGGGGCAGGGCACCACTGCGTTTGCGGTAAAGTGCGGCTTGTTGGTCTTGACCCAGTCCCAGAAAGCCTGTTCAGACGCAACTTTTGATGCAAAGTAGGCGATTACGGATTTCTGCAGAGGCGACAAAGACTCGGGCAGATTCTTGGCCAAGGCAAGCGTTTGGTTGTCAAATTCATCGGATGAGACTGTATCCGCGTTACAGTAGGCTTGCCCGGAGCGCACGGCTCGGGAAGAAGAAGTCAATACAAAGCGCTGTACACTGGGCTCCTTGGCGGCAGCCTGCAGACAAACCAGGGTGCCAGCGACAGTAGTTCGAATCATCTCGTCGGGTGTAACGTTCACGTCCCGCACAGAAGCCACATGAGCGACTGCAGAGACGCCTAAATGGTGAAGCTGGGTCAGTGACGGAGCAATGAATCCGACGTGGGGGAGGGGGGGAGTAGGTACCTGAGACGGCATCGTCAAAGGCGCCCGGGCCCCGCATGTCCTTGACGGTGACCAGTTCAAACTGGCCACTGCCGTACTTTTGGGAGAAACGGTCGACCAGCCATTGGTGCTTGGCAGCATCTCGGACTGTGCCTCGCACCTTGTAGCCCTGGTGGAGCAGCTGGTCGGCGACGTGGGCGGCGACGAAGCCATTTGCCCCTGTTACGAGCACGGTGGAGCCAGGAGCGAGAGCGGGATTGACTAGAGAGGGCATTGTGCAACGGACTATCGGATAACGAGGCAGGGTGACGAGTTAGCCGATCGATGGAGGCTGCGGCGTGATGCACAAGTGATGCGATAGTAGCCTTATAATCTTGTTTCTCGATCGCAAGACGTCATTTTGCGAGTGCCGGCGCGGGTGCGGGTGCACCGGGGGCCGTGGGTGAGGCTCGGCGGATTTCTGATGCTGCATGGACGGCGGCGGTGGTGGGAAAGACGACGTTTCCGGGGTTGAGGAGTCGAGCAAGACGAGCAGCCAATGACGCAAAACATGCCGACCGCGCTAGGCCCGGAACGGGGCCGGGGAGAGCGGCGAGGCCCTGCGCGTGCTTGCGCTGGATGGACCACACTCGACGATTAAATACATGCTTCGACGACCACCACAATCGCCAGATATGAAGGAAGATGCAAGAGTGCGGGTGTGCCTTCCATGTCCTGCGCACGCTCGCCCGTGTCGAGGAGCTCACCACGTCGTCCCAAGTCCCGCTCGAGACGGCGCTCCAGGTCACGTCGACGGCCGAGCGCCCCAGCCTTGCCGTGCTGAGCTGTGAGCGCTGCCGGCAACAGCGGCTGCCGCTGACTGCCGTTACCATTCTCTGTGCCCATCTGGTCGACTGGCTGTGTCGGCTGTGGAACCTCACCGACGACGACGCCAGCGATACGTCGACCGACAGCGGCAGCACCACAAGCAACACGATTCCCTCGAGCACCGCCAGCACCGCCAGCACCGCCAGCAACCACCCGGATAGCCAGCATCCGCTCCAGCCCTGGAAGTTTTCTCTCGGCAGCTACCATCTCGCGGCCGACGAAGCCGATGCACTCAGCAACGAGCTCATGACACTGCGTCTGACGGGCTTCTCGGCCGTCCTGGGCTCGCTGGAAGCCGCCCTCGTCACGTCAGGACTCACGCCCTCCCTGTCGTCCTCTTCGCCGCCCGAGCGATGCCCCAGCGGCAGCGGCATAACCGCCTCCGACTTGGCGGCCTTTGCCCCGGCCTGCCTAGACATTGTCCGCGCCAATCTCCGCCTAGTACGCACATGCATCCGCCGCCTCAAGGACCGGTCGCTGCTGAGCACCAGCGGAGCCAATCCCATCTTCTCGTGACCGACGTGTTGACGGCGACGTGGACGACGACGTGGACGGGGACCACATGGAAAGAGTCGGTGTCCCGGGAGTTTGAGGAGAAGCGCATCTGAGACTTTGCATTATACCCCATGGCGCATACGGAGCCAAAATGTATCAATATCCAGAATAGACCTAATTGCCACGGCCCATGTTGAAATCTGGTGAACGGGGTGGAATGGGGCTTCTTTTTTGTTTTGTTTTGTGTAGATTACTGTCGACGGTTCTGGGTTTGACATGAAATGGTGGGGGCATCAGGGGCAGCTGGATACAATAGAGGGAGTTTGATTGCAGCATCAGAAGCCATTGCATAGAGCATCCGAGGGCGTCAGATGGAGCAGAGGCGGTTAAATACAACATGTAGAGATGATTACATACAGCATCTAGACGCAAATACATCACACACACCAACTTTTAAGCAGAAATCTTTCATCAAAACTCGTCAATTTTCTATCAGATATAGGGGTAACACGTCGCGAGAAACCGATTTACGCCACCTCTAATGTGTGCAGCCCTCTCGTTGAGGTGCTAGAGGGGGTATTGTCGGTATTCTTGCGACGTGTTCGAAATGCGAAAATCTTCGAGAACGCACAGACCGCCCCGATGACTAATAGGGAGACTACCAAACGAAACCAAAAACAATTAAAAACACCAAATAAAACAACAAAAATCAAAAATCCTATATCTAAACGCCGAGAC